GGTGGATGCCCAAAGGAGGCTGTGAACCCATGGGAAGCCTGTGCCGGAGCAGGCTCCTGGCAGGACCTGTGGACCCATGAACAGAGAAGACCACACTGGAGCAGGTTTGCTGGCAGGACTTGTGGACCCTGCAGGGGATCCACGCTGGAACAGTCTGTTCCCCTGCACCCCATGGAAGGGACCCACGCTGGAGCGGCTCCGCGCCCGTGGGAAGGATTCACACTGGAGGTTTGCGGAGGACTGTCTCCCATGGGAGGGACCCCACGCTGGAGCAGCGGAAGAGTGTGAGGGGTCCTCCCCCTGAGGAGGAAGGAGCGGCAGAGACAATGTGTGATGAACTGACCACAAACCCTGTGCTGCTCAGGGGTAGGAGGAAGTAAAAATCAGAAATTAAGCCTGGGAAGAAGGGAGTGTTGGGGGAAAGGTGTTTTCAAGACTTGGTTTTATTTCTTGTTATCCTACTGTGATTTGATTGGTAATAAATTAAATTAATTTTTCCCTAAGTCGAGTCTGATTTGCCCATGACAACAATTGGCGAGTGATCTCTCCCTGCCCTTATCTCGACCCACAAGCCTTTTGTTAAATTTTCTCTCCCCTGTCCAGATGAGGAGTGATAGAGCAGCTTTGGTGGGCACCTGGCATCCAGCCAGGGTCAACCCACCATAACCTAGCTTTTCTGTGTTTAAATATTTAATCCCAAATTTCCACTGAAATTTGTCAATCAAATTTGAATTTGTCATCAAATTCAGTTTAACTTCCAGAATTCATTTTGTTCTTATCTCTGAATACCACAGTTTAGCTTCAATAAGACAGTATAAGAGATAACATCTCAACATATACTCCTTCTGACTACAGAACATTACTGATTATCAGCACCTGGTTTATTCTGTACTAAATTATGAATGCACTATAGATTTCCTGTGGGTAACACTAGGAATTAATCAATCTGTTCACAAAAGATCGTGGCCACCAAAACAGTATTTCAGACAAAATTACATCCTGCCTTCAAAAATAACTGTTGTTTTAAGTTTGGCATAGAGAAAGCAGTGACAACTGGGAATTTCCTTTAAGGAATTTGTGAGTTTTCTTCAGATTTTATTCTCTATTCCCACCTCCTCCCCAAAAAATTTAAAAAAGGAAAAAAGCAAATAGAAGACTCATTCAGAATGTTTGACTGAAATTAGAAGGGTTGTCTTTGTTTAATTGTTTTCTGAAGGTATTTTGGGAGCTAACCTCATCTAACATTGGCCATGTTAAATGGAAGTGCCTTGTCTAAGCTCATCATTGCTGCTTCCTTTAGATACACCATGGAAAGAAAGTAGTGCCTCTAGAGGGTGATTTCGGCCCATCTTCAGCAGATCCCTCATTCCTCAGGAGTGCTAGCTGTCTTTGCAGACTACAATGGAGTCTAGAGTTAGGTGAGATAAATTCAACCTGGAAAAATCAGGTAACCTTATACCTTGTGAAATTTTTATCCCTGGATTAAACATTTACGTTTTCAATACAATTCATAGTGCTTATATATCAGATAATCCTACAGAGAGTCAGTTAGTTTGTTTAATGTAGATATTTAATAAGTTTCATAAGCACACATTAAAGCCTACGGTGATGTAATTTCTAGACTTTTAATGCCGGACTGTGCAGATATTTGCATTAAGATGTGCAACAATGTACACAGTCTCTCTCAGTTTATTTGAAATAGCTGTCCCTTTCCTATCTGAGCACTTTTTGAAAACCCAGAGGCAGAGAAAAAAATGTATTTTTCTTTCCTCTTAATCAAACTTCAAATCAGAAAAGCCTGAATACAGTGTTCGAATGCTACTGCTTGGTTGATTGAGACAGAAATCTTACCACACTCAGGAGGAGTTTAGTGGTTTTCTAATAAGAAGTTCTACCTCTAAGCTCAGACTGGAAAGTAAGTTTGCTTTGTAGCGTCTGACAGTGAAACATGATTCTGTTTAACACGGCATGACTATAGTTGCACAGTGGGAGATTACAGGCAATGAGAAAATTTCTAACAAATGGCTCTCTTCTGCAAAGAACAGAGAACTGATCTTTGCAGAACACATCTTTGGTAATGAGGTATGCCAAGCATGCCGTACCAGTATTAATCTTTCTATAAAAGCCAGCAAATTGCTATAGTTCAACATGGAGATAATGAAAAGAATTTCACAGTATCGAGGCTCTGGTCAGGTGGAAGTAAGTTATGATGTTTCCTTGCCATCTAGCCAGTAATTGTGAAGGTGTCCACCAAAATTCATGGTTTCCCATTCTCATGAGATCCTTCTGTTCCAAAAGCTACAGCTACACTACATGACTCTTACTCATGTATTTTCTTCCCATGAAATCAAAGAGCAGTGGAGGGTGCTGTGTTGACCCAAATCCAAAGCTGGGAGCAGGGAAATGATCCTGAATCCTGCAGTTTAGAGGCAGTCACTAAGTTTCATCACATCAGCATATCAAAACACTGCCCCTGCCACCACCCCTGCAAATGTTCTACTCCATATTGTTCTGACATCCATAATCAGAAAAAGCCTAAGCAAGCAGGCTCAAAATAAAAAGTGGCTAAGGGAGATAAAACAGTAACTCTTTTCACCAGAAACATATCGGTTAATGGAGCCACTTGGAACACCAATTGGGTTTGATCTTTCATTACAGAATAATTAGACTCACTGGCCAAAAAGAGTCAAAGAATGAGCATGAATTAATGACAAAGTTATGAGGCACTCACTAGGAAGAATGGATAGGTATATGTTAGTTTCTGCCCTGTCAACTACTCAATATAAAGTATTTAAATATTCGGTAGTTTTGGGATTAGTCAGCAAAAATCCTTCTCCCAGATGAACATTTCAATTACTATACAACAGGGTCACTCCCATACATTGGTCCAATAATTAATGATCTCCAAACGAAGCAAAGCAGCAGCTTCAGCAAGATGCAGTGAATAAACTACAACACCAGGAAATTCAGGAATCTGATGTTCAGAAGTAAAAGAAAAATCTTCCAACTAGTCTGGCAAAGAGCACACCTGAACCCACACCCTTGTCTCTTGCACTCTGCCTGAACTCTACTTAACAAAATGTAGGCACTGTTACCTCTGACAACATTCTGTAAGAAAGAGTCAGCTCCAGGAGAGGATTTATGATCATGACTTCAGAGCTGAGAATGGTGTCTCCACAGTTAATTTTCTTGCAGCAATGTGATCTAGGACAAACTGCCTCTTGCACTAGTTTGTCCTACTAATCTGCTGGCTAAGTAGTGTGTTGGCTTTCGTATACTCCATTCTTAAGTGTTGACACTTCAGCTGTTAAGACAAGAATATATCTAGATTCTTCTGTAGATCTACTTCTAGTTGTTGTGATAACTCTCCTAATTCTATACTATCTGGTGGGAAAAATATTCCCTTTTTCACTTAATCTCGTGACATCTTAAAAAGGTGTCATAAATGTCAAAGTGCTGGAAGACAGCAAAAAGCTGCACCACCACCCAAAAGTCTTATTTAGGACAAGAAAGGCAGGTCACACACCAATCCTAACAGAGTAAAATCTTTGCTAAGTGCTAGTTTGAAACTTAATTTGGATGAAAACAAGGGAATAGCAGAAACACTTATTACAGGAGTTGCTCCACACCAAAATCTGCCTTGCTATTCAGACCTAAAAAATAAACACTGGAGACAGCAGGTTACCTGAAATGGGAATGACACAGAGTATGAAGCTAAGTCTCATCTGGAGTACCATGGGCTTTGTTTTATTATTTCACACAGTTCACTACTATGTATTTCTTAAAAAAATTACTAACATCCTGCCCCCTCCAAAGAGGCACAGATGTCAAGTATATCAATGAAGGTTTTACTTAGGATGAAGGGCTTGGGAGAAGCTCCTCTCAGATGCCACCCCTGCAGCCTGCCCCCTGCTGCCCCCCACCCCCATTACCAAAACCTTGCCACATAAACCAAATACAGACAGGAAATGCTTAACACTGATTTTTGTAATAGTTTGTCTGAAAAAAATACTGAGAATCAGAAAGCCTAAGGACTCAGTAACTATTCTCTCTTCGTGTCCTTGGATAAGCCAAATGCCTTCAGTTATGCATTTTTTCAGCTAACCTGTGTGTTGTGGAAATACAAAATGCTATGTAAGTAGAAAGCAGGTCTATAAATATTTAAATATAATAATTAAAAATCAGTATTTCCTTAGATTCTGTAACTAAAATATAATACTTAAAAAGAAACACTGATATATAATTAAAACTGGATAATTAATAAAATGTATGAATAAACTAGAGTGACTGCCAGCAGATCTCCTAGTTTTTATTTTTCATACATATACACATAACA